AAAAAAAAAAAAAAAAAAAAAAAAAAAAAAAAAAAAAAAAAAAAAAAGTGTAATCAAAATGATCAGATTAACAATAAAAATATATACCACTGTTGTTTATGTACAGTTTAGGGGCCATCCATAATCATCAACATTTTGAAAAGAGTACAAAACATACGCTTTGGAGGGGAGGGGGTGGGGTGGTGTTGAAAGTGTAGGCATAAGTACTCTTTTATGAAAAAGATAAAATTTTGATCTCAAAATGACACAAATCACCATTTTTTTGCATACTCTTTCAGGGGGAGGGAGGGGGGTCACAAAAAATAGTATGATTTGTACTCTTTTGAAAATGTTGGATTACCCCATATGTTATTGGAGTTGATCCTCCAAGGCCTCATCCCTCTGAATTCTCATTACTTTTATACTTTTAAATATGAAGTTATAGTTTTAAATGTATGCCTATGTTGCAAATTTAATGCCATGTTTTATAGGCTATTGGATAAATTGGTACATTGCCAGAAGAATGATCTAGATCTAGACACTAAATTTCATCCTACCTCTAAAGATCTTACATATTTGGCATTCTGGTCAAAATATTTACAGTTACTTTATGGTTAGAATCAAGTTGTTTAATGTATTTGATTGAAAAGTAAAAATTCCTTTTGCTGTTGAAAATCATTAAATTAATTGTAATATTGAATCATATGAAAAGTAAATCATGCTGTAATGTTAGTTTCATAATGTGAATTTTTTCATAAATATTATTTATATTAAATTTGAAAATCTTATATATGGCTATTTTATTTCCTTCTATCCCATTTCCTCTGTTTTTACACAGGGTTTTTCTACCTTCCACTGTAGCCATTTACTGTGCTTGTATCAACTTCAGATTTGGTGTAAGCAAGCACCATGTAACAAAGATACATGCTTAGTAAAAGTGATGTCATTCTACATATTTTTTATTTATTAATAAACTGGTAATTAAACATTTATGTTCATGCTATTTGAAGTCATTATCAGTGTCATCATCAATATCATCATCATTGTCATCATCAGCAGTATCATCATCATCATTATCATCATCATCATCATAATCATCATCATCATCATTCTCTTTACAAACCCATTTGATATTGTTTAGTATGTTGTTATGGTTATTTTATCTATGTGATATATAATTAGTCACTTGTTACAACCTAGTAGAATTCTGTAAGATGGTTTGTCAATCATGTTTTCCTGTCAATATACTAAGTACTAAAGTTCAGCTGGATGTAATTAATTGTGGATAACGAGGTACAGCAGAATGTTCTTAATTGTTATTGGTATAGTCAGCACCAGTATGTGATGACGTTTAAGCCACATTGGCTCTCTCTAATTGTGGCGATAACATCTATAAAAGACATTGGTGTAAAGTGCATGTTAATGATAGACACACAGATGCAGTACAGTTCTGGCAAGATGCGTAATATTGATATACAAACATAGTATGCAGTTCATGTAGTTCAGTGCATATTTTCAGCATTGCACATAATATACAAAATACAGTAGGCCTATACAGGTATACAGTTCCTGCTGTACAGTTTATATTTTCAGTAGCATTCATAATATTCATTCAGTAAAACACAGATGTAGTTCATGTACTGTGGTACAGTATTTATTTCCATTAGCATTCATTATTTTCAATATATAAAATACAGTATATGCAGTACAGTATATATTTTCAGCAACGTATATGTAATCCATGTACAATCAGTTTGTCAACACTGTACATGAGCATGTAATTTCGTACATATCATCATATACAAAATACATACTGTAGTGTTATGCATGCACACATGCAACACATGTTTCTTATGATAACATATTTCTGCTACATATTTGATAAGCAGAGCCAAGAAGTCTGGCTGTTCCTGGCAATGATCAATTGGGTGCTTAGATATCTCATATACATATATTGTACATATAGTTAGTACTTATAGAATCGTACATTATAGAGTTAAACACATTAGGTTTATGGTATTGAAGGGGGTTTTTTTTGTCTCTTGCAAAGACGTATAAAAGTCTGTTCAGTGAGTACAGTACATAATAATAATGGATTAGTTTTGTATAGCGCTGGGATCCGGCAGTAGACACTCATGGACATTATTACCCCTGATCATCGACTACATTAGATATGTCATGCATAATGCGCAATCTCTTCCGCTCAAGTCATGCAGTTAGCTAAGCACTAGCTCATTCCATGTCAGTAACATCCTACCAGGTACCCATTTATACTCCTGGATAAAAAACACATTTTAGTGACATGCGGATGTGTCATCAAACAAAATCAATCAATTATCTTTTAAATGAATTAAAAAAAAAACTATAAACAATATAAATAGTACAACTTAAATATATATTATACCTAATACTGTTATTCATAGTATACTTTACCTGCAAAAGTTTAATAATTTTAATGAAATGTAGTGTTCCACTGTACATTCTGAACTGAGGACATGTTATTAGAACCTGACTACAGGGTTAAAAGAATGAACTGCTACTGCTACTCTAACCAGGGTTGTAGCTGTAGAAAATTAAGGATGGATGACAGACATTTTAAGGGTGGGTGTGTGATAACATTGGTAAACTCTAAATAATAAGAGTGGATTTTAAGGATGGAAAAGTGGGTTAATAAGGGTGGGAGAGGAGGGCCATGAAATTAGCTTTAGACTGGGTGGAAAACTTCAAGACTGGGTGGCCCTGCCCACCATAACTATATCCCTGTCCAACCACTCTTGCAATATGTACATAATCTTCTTCTAGTGTCATGGCATCGAATGCCGTGGACGGATCATGGTGGTTCGTTCTGCTTCCATTTTCTCCTGTCGTTTGCGATCTCGCCTAGATGTACATAAATGTACATAATAATAACACATAAGCCTGTAGGTCTACTGATAAGTTTGAGATAACTTAGTATGAAAATTATGGTAGATACTGTAGACTCATGTTAGTTTGGTTGACAATGACATATGAATTAACACTGGCAGCATTTTATAGACTAACTTAAAATTGTTTATTATACCTAGTGTAAAACAAACTCCTTGCCTGCCAGTTAATTTGATCTTTGGACCTTTAAGTAGATCATCAGGAATCGTATAGTAACACACACAGTGCTTACTAATACGGTACACATACATACAGTGTTTCACATATACTGTAGTATGCCCTCCAATTCAAGACACGTCGAATTCCAAGACCCCCTAATTTGAGACCACTTTTTTTAGAACCAAATAAACAATATTCAATCTTTTAGCACATGGCTAACCCTCTAAGTGATGACCAAACCCCAAGACCATCCCAAATATGGTCTTAAATTGAAGGGTGGACTGTACTGCAAAAACAAGCCAAAAATGTATATACTGTACATAGCTTATTTCATATTGTACAAGTATCTGATTTTAGCACATAATATATTGTCTCCTGTGGTATATGTGCTAAATACATTATTTCACATTCCATATGAAATGGTTAATGGTTTTGGAGTTATGTTCGTTGTACAAATGTGTTAATGTGTTGAATTGTAGCCACGACACAATTACTTCATTGCAGACCTATATCTAAATATTGATTGATTTCTGTATTTCCAATAGGAACATACTTAATATTTTAGTTGTTATGCATGCAGCAAGCATGTCAATTATGTTATACGTCTTGAAAATAATTTTTAAAAAAGTGCCACATTTATCTTCACATTCCTGTGTTGAAATAGTAATGTTATTTCCAGGGTTTTAGATGCGATGACGTAGAATGGCGCAGTGCGTACCAAGTTTAAACTTCACTAAATTCAATAATAATAATAATAATAGGAATAAGAATCTTTGCCTTTTACTTTATGATTTCAATATCAGTTCCCATTATGTCAACAAAGAAAGCCCTATATTGTTTTATTACAGACATAAAGTCTAGTTACTAATATTGCATTTATATTTCATAATCATTATCAATCATCATCATAATCACTATTTAATCATTAAATTCATGCTTTTACTTTACTAGATTCCTTTAAATGAGCTGTTAAATAATTTGATATAATTTTTGAGGTTTTTTTAATAAATAATTTATGACCAATAGTACAGTATATTAAACATAAAGCAAACAAAAATGATTAATCTGTGAATATGGTGTCAAATAATATAACTTATGGTGATTATGCACACTTATTAACTATTTTATTGTGCAATCTATTTTAAGTATACTGGTGCAAAGTTAACTGGATTATAATTATTTTATTAAACCAATACATCCACCGCCATGAAACAATCAAATATTTGCGGTGGAATATAGAAGGGAGGAAGCATGTCTTCAAAGAAGGCATTGAATCCTGATTAGCAATTAATATGTATATTATTTTGCCTAATTAGACCCAAATCCTACAACTATTTGCATCAATATTGTGAAATGGTGCAAGAGTTCATATTGCTCAAAATTAGCACTAGAATGTAATTTTTCTTCACAAAGAGAGAAATTCAGCATCAATAATGGTATTAGTAAATTAGATTCGGCCCAAACCACATCCAAGAATTCAGAGAGGGAAACTCATTGATGTTGCTTTTGGTGTCAATTTTTCAAATATTTGTTGCATTTATATCTTTTTTTTTTTTTTTTTGATCTTGTTGAATTTCACTTTCAAAATCTTTCAATATTTTTTATATTTGTAATTTAAACCTTGAATTGAATTCTGTAGTTGAATACTAGATCTTACTGTCTTTATGCATTCAAATCTAATGTTCCAAATATCACTATTATAAATGATAAAGCACGAAAGATATGATGACTTTAATACCCAAAACTAGTGTTTACAGTGCCTCAAAATGATGGCCTCGCTAAAGGGGTTTAAGAAGGAGGATGAAACATTAATTAAATCTAAAAAAGTTGGTTTTAGTCACAAAGTATAGCGAATGTCTTGGAAGTGTCTTGCATGAGAAACTATTTAAAAGATGCATTTCTAGGATTGGAGTAATTAAAAATGTCTTTGTCAACAGGGCGGAAGCTAGCATCGCTGCTCTGGCTGAACTTAACCCAAATGTGGCGGTGAAGGTAATAACTGATGACTTGTTTGCGAACTCAGATTTGTCATTCTTAAGCAACTACCAATGTGTTATCCTGACTGAAACATCCTTGGCAACACAAATTAAGGTCAATGAGTTCTGTCGGGGGAAGAACCCAGCAATACAGGTACGGTATAAACATATCTAGGTGTATTTATTTTAAGTAATTCTGTTCTAGCCATTCTCATTTCTCACCTATGATTGTTTATTATCCATAATAGTAATTGAAATGAACTACGCATTCAAGAGGGTGTTGAACTTGGGTGCGATTGAGTTGAATTCAACAAATCAAAAAAGGCATTTTCTGGCTTTCTTCATTTGGAGAAGGGGAAGGTGTCAGTGACTTTCACCTTTAAGGTTATTATACATTGACGTCATGTAGTTAAAAAACATTACATTGTCGTACTCAATTTCCTCGGTTCCAAAAATGTATTTAGTAGGGCTGCTTTTTAAGATTTTTTTGGAGCTAGCTTTAAGCTAACATTCCTTTTGCAAAAAAGAAAGGAAATCTCTGATTTTATCAGATTAGACTCAACCTAATTACTGTATGTGTAATGTCAACCAAATCAGCAAAATACCATTGAAAACTATTGGGAATTTACTAAAAAAAATCAGTGTACTCTACATATCTGTGTGATCCAATAAAGATGTAGTCGTATAGTTTTTTCTTCAGCCCTTGGGGGCCGCTTGGCGTTCCATGGACATGGGGTGCACTGTTTTTATAGACAGCCTACAAACCATCTGATCTTCACAACTGTCTAGTTCTTCCATGGTGGTACAAAAATCAATATGTAGAATTAGCAATGATGATTTCCTGATGTGAAATCTTTTTACTTTTTACATAGCAAGTTCAGGATGATTGAAAGCCATAGCCATTAATGAGCCGTCGACACCTTTTGACACTATGAACCTCTATGGTACCATGCCAATATCAATAATCAGCCCTCTTCTCTGCCAACCTCTCCTACACTTTCCTGGCACATCTTCTTCAATAGTACATAGCACTAGGCTACATCCGATTTTCTTTCCATGGCCAAAATTTGCAGCAACTACTTGCCAACTACAGGATGGAACAGTAATAAGGAAGATGAAGAACAGGCCCTTAACTAGGATTCAGCGGTTTTCAAGAGGCAGAGCGCCAGATCCGCTGTTGGGTTCCAGGAGCAGAGTACTTGTGGGGTCAGTTGGTGCAGCCTCTGAGGCAATTTATCAAGTAAATGGTGAATTTCATCACACTCGAATTCAAAAAGTATATTATGTACAGTAGAATCTCGCTTTTATGTACCCTAGTTATACAAACCTCGGTTTTAAGTATGCCTCGTACCGATGATGATGTCCAAAATATTCAAAAGAAATGGCTGTTTCAAGACCACCATAAAGTAAAAAGAGATTTGTTTGCTTATTATTTCAATACTTTAACAATATACAAACCCTATGCAAAGTATTTGCATTAAACAGCAACGTTGATTGTGTCTAATTAATGGGCTGTTATAATATAAAACCACGTCGACTGAGCGAGATGAACAACTACGACAGTGCTCAAAATATTTTTTCTTCTACTTCGTGTGGAAAACTTGTTTGATCGAATTTTCTCCACCAAGTTTACTTAGCTCCAAGCTGGGTAGGCATAATTTTGTACACGATTGCTAATTGGTTGGCTTTCCCAGTGCAGTGAATATGGTATAAGTTTGTCTCAGCAGGCCCAGACAACACCACAGCTCTGTGTTATAGTTATACCTTTGTCGTATAGGTAATCTTACAACATTTTCATGTTCTTTAGTTAAATAAAATATTTAAAGTAGATGGTTTAATACACTAGACACATGGTTTTATTTGAACGCTTTATTGTGACATCGTAAAGTGATGAATAAAACACTAAACACATGGTTGTAGGCCTCTAGAACATTGTTCGTTCATAACATACATTTATTGACTGTTACATACGAAATCGGTCAAAGGTCACCACAAATTCAACCCAACCTTAATTTTACCATAGAGGTATAATAAGAATACTAGAGCGCTAACCGCAATGTATTCGATGTTCGAAATACGCAGAACTGTGGGTGTGTACCATCCAAGATGGCTACCATAGATTTAGCCAATCAAATTTCGCTAAGCGCCATCGTTTGCAATTGCGCCCTCAATTTACTCAGAAAGTTCAGTACAGCTAGTTACCTGTATGTTTGAAACTCGAGCGTTGCGGTGTAAAAGCCAAACATTGCCTGAAGGAACATCAAATATAGTAAAAAAAAGCCTCACAGGACCTGCACAAAAATCATCAACGTCTGAGAAAATCAAACCCACGCAGAATAACCATCAACTGCTTTAGAAATTCAAACCTACATAAAAAAGAACCATCAACCTAGAAACTGCCGGACTCAGATGAACCAATACTTTCTGAACATGCCCGCCAGAGCCATCTGCGATATAGAAACTAACCTGCTCTCAAGAACAATTGACATCTTTTCAGTTAACTAAGCAATGCTTTCTTCAGCTAAGCTATATTTTACAAAGCTTTTTCATATACATATGTATTAGAAATTGCAAATTGCAAGTGAAGTGCTGCGAAGTACAATTGCATAAAATGTTCTTCGAACAAAATTATTTATGCGAGTCAAGTGAAAATAATGAATAATAAAAATATAACAAATAATATGAGCACGACCCATTGTCTATATTAGAACAGCGTTGGTACCGTGTACAATAGTGTTTTGCTGCAGTGACATCTCTCTGCTGACGACTCACTGCTGCTGGCGATGCCTCGCTGCTGGCGAAATCGATCTGCGCATGTGTATAAAATGGTATTTATTTCCGAAAACACTATGCCAGTCTACAACAACCGTTGCCTAAATGTAATAATTAGCACGTTGAAATAGGCTAGTAAATAAGTTTAACTGGGTTCGTAAATAATATTGGCCTCAAAATATTGTGGCTGAGACATGAGCCGATTAAACGTAGAAATAGAAAACCTAGAAATAGAGTAAAAACGCTGAATAGTACTCCAGCGTCGCGACATGCGGACGTTGGTACGAGTAGGTTAGTCTACAAACGTCGCCTAAAGTAATTGATTTTACCCAGCAGAACGAAAGAAGGAAACTCCGCTTTTCAGTTGTCTTAGGCCATTTTTTTTGTACAAACAATGACCTTTCAGAGGTCAAATTGCTGTCAACATATGAATTGGCTGCTTCGCAGCAATAAATGCTCAACCATGAAGGCTGCTTGGTAGGTAGTACATGTAGTTGTATAGTTATGCAATAGTAAAGAAACAGTGTTACGTGTTGTAGTCAGTGGCGAATCCAGTCACATGTTGTAATCATTGGCGAATCCAGGAATAGAGGGGGCTCAGAGAGGGACTTCCACAGAAAGTATTCATGATTATGGCAGATCTTGATGGCAAGAAAGGCACTCTCAGACTTAAATTTGGATAAAGTACCGTTCGCAGGGCAGTGCACTAAATTGGACAGATTGCCCATGGGCAAACTGTGGGAACGAGATGCGGGTAAAATCAACATGCAGTATTGTAGAGACGACGTGCCGGTACATCGGGCTAACTGCCCACAGAGAATGCAGCAGCTTAAATTAAACATCATGCAAAACCCATCCAAAGAGTCATACTCAAAACATGCCCACAAGAACCATCAATTTCTATTTAAACTCCTACATAGCGATGCATTTGTTGAATTACTTTCTGTTGTCATTTCATGTGTAATAATATTGTGCTAAATTTTGTATTATATGGCCTTGGCATGTATTTTATATCCACTCGCATTGAGAATGTTCATACTACCTTCTATAAATTTGCATAGTGCGATGTGCTTAAATTATCATTTAATAATGTTGCACCAAGTGTATTGAACGAACTTCCAATTGAAACAGGATTTTGTACTTTTTTTGGTTGAGGTTATGAATTATTTGAAAGTTTAATTTTTCCAATACATTTTTTTTTCTTTTTGTTGCATTTTGTCGTATACAAGAGTCGCTTAGCTACAAAGACCTCAGTCCCTTTTGCCTTTATTGCAACTCATGCAATGAAGTGGATCTTTAGTCTTGTTTAATAGAAATAAATATTAATAATCATTAATTTTAATCCAACAAAACATAAAATTGGTTGAGGTTATGAATTATTTGAATGTTTAATTTCATATCACTTTTTTTTTTATCTTTCCATTGCATTTTGCAGTATAGAGGAGTCCCTTAGCTACAGACACCAGTCCATTTTTCCTTAATTGCAACTCATACAATCAAGTGGATGTTCAATCTTGTTAATTGAAATAGATATTAATTTTAATCTAACAAAAACTGAATAATTTCAGTTGATTAGTTTAATTTTAAAATATATCATTATCATAATTTCTTTGAAAATTAAAATCCAGCATCAGATTATGATTTGGAAAGAAATTTCAACTCAGAATTGCAATACGTAATAGTCTCAATAACAGTATTTGTTTTTATTAACGTCATAACAAATATATTTTCCACTTTGTACTTCATAAAATTTTGATCTAGTTTGAAATTTTTCTTCTAGCATACTATAGATGATAAGTTACATTAGATATTTTTTATCACTTTTCAATCTTTCAGATGATTTTATTTTTGTAAAGTTATTTTATTCCTCTAAGACAAAATACTACTTGTCTTGTGTGGTGCACATTGCTATATTTAATCTTATGTTCCACTTGTGACATGTGTGTAACAGATAAACAATGATAAATGTGAGGTGTTATAGAGGGCATACTGAGGTACTGTCTTTTTATTATCTATTTCCCGGCAAATGTACGATTCAATTATTCAATCACTCGTTTGATTTATAACATTAAACATAAAAAAGTGACAATGCACAAAGGATTGAAGCTAAATGTCAACAGAATAAGCAAAAAAAAGTTCCCAATGATGAATATACTGCATAGAATGTTTATTTTTATGATGACATATAACTTTCATATTTTAATCAATTGATAAGACCATCACTATGTAAATTTAAACAATAAAACATAAAAGCTATAACAATAAATTGCCGTTTGTGCTAAAAGTAGCTGTAATTTCTGAGAATAAATAGATTTGATTCAAATTCTGAGATGTGTCAAACATTATGCTAGTTATCTAGCCTTGTTATTTATAAATTATTTAAATATGTTTTTTTCCTTTAATGGTCACCTGTTTGAATGCAGGATACAATTATTGATTTAAGATTGATAAAGCATCCAACCTACCATAGAGAAATTAATTTTTTAATTCATTTATCTATTTACTTTGTCAACATATGCCTTTAGATTAGTGACACTTCCTGTATGGTGCGTTCAACAAAATACAATACAATACATTGCGTTACTTAAATACTGTTCACTTTAAACTAATTAAACATAATTAATACAAACTTTAAAATAACAAAAATTGACAAATCAGATAATGAACTTAAAATTAACAATAATACATCAAGCTTACTAATTATTTGTGTGTACGAATCTGCATGTACATGATGCGGATGGTGTTCATATGTACAAACGTACTCATACACACACATACACAGTACAGTATCTCTCCACCACCCAACCAACTAACCCCTTTTTCTAATTTACCCAGAATGAGTTAAAAGGAAAACAAACAATTTTATATTAATAATATTAAAAATGCATTATAATATGGATAACAGCATGTATACTAATATCTGACTCTGTTGTTTGTATGATAGTGAAAATGTTGCCTTTCAAAGTCTTGGTTTAGATCGGAGTCCTAATATTCGCAGCAAAAGATCCTAAACCACGACTCTGAAAGGTAACATTTTCACTATCACCATTGATATCGTTACTGAATGTCTTTAAATGCAACATAGTGTATGAAATTGCAGCACTGCACTAACTCGTTGAAGTTGCCAGCTTTGTCTTATTAATAACAGCATTACATTGATTAAATAGGAATCTGGATGCAATGATGTTATGTCCGCCTTTAATTCCTTCCTTTGCCATTCCGATTGCTTCATGAACATAGAAAGGAGATCAGTGTTGACAAGTTCTTAAGAAGGATCCTTCCTGTTTTATGTTTAACAAGCTTTACCAACTTACCAGAGCATAAAATAAGCTTTATGAACCTGTAAGACATGTGATAAGCCGAAAGAAATGCTCATTGTTTAAAAAATAATTTCTTATAGGATATTTCCTATTGTATGCATTTGTAAGTTACTTGTATTAATTGAAGCATTTCTCGGAATCTTGCATTTCTGATATTGCGTACTTAATATGCGTAAATGTGGATATTTATAACTTGTTTTCAAGTTTATTATTACAAAGCATCACGCTATTTTGTTAATTTTGACCCAGTTTTATGTACACAACTAATGAAAATATAATTAAAAATATAAGTATAGTTTATTACTATATAGGATTTTTAATAGTACTGTACATTACAACTGCAGAAGCTGAAGGGAGGTTTAAGAATGGTGTCTTGGTACCTGCTCTAATATTCTAGAGTATTAAGTTCATATTGTACATATGCAAAAAAATTATATTGATTGATTGATTGATTGATTAATTGATAGATTAATGGATGGATAAATTGTTTCCCTCCCTAAACCTCATAATGAGATTTAGATTGAGCTCATGAAATTATATACCTCAAAACATAATCCTTTGATGCTGTAGTGCAGTGATGCTTTACCTTTAAATCAACAGTTTACGAAGCCTGGCTTCCATAAAATTGCTACATGCTACTGCCAGCAGCTTTTGGCAATGTGGATTCAAATCAGGGGTTCTATCAAATTGCCTCAGGGCCAGCTATTAAGCAGTGTAATAATTGCAGTGAAAGCACAGTAGTGACAGTGTAGCAATTTTATCGAAACAAGGCTTTAGTCAACAGGCTTTAGTCCCCTTTATATATGGATTAGGGAACTGAAGTCATTTCAGGCACATATATAATTATTTTTTAAATAAATGAGATAAATAAACAAAAAGATGCCACTTTAAACTTTATGAGTTGTCATGAAACAAGTTTTATGTTAATTGGTTGTCCTTGTGTGTGTAGTTCATTTCAGGAGATGTATACGGTGTGTTCAGCTACGTGTTCTGTGACTTTGGAGACAACTTTGAAGTGGCTGATTTGGATGGTGAGGAAGCCAGAGAGTCATTTGTTGCTACAGTTTCCAAGGTATGTACTTATGTGGATTTCCTGTTTCAAATTTTAATGTTTATCCAGATTTCTGTGTGTTGTGGGAGCAGTTGTGGTTCGGTCTCTTAACCTTGAGGTCAGGGGTTCAAATCTTGCACTTTGTATTTCTCTTGTGTTCTCCACCCCAAGGGAAATAAATTGGTACCTGGTAGGATATAATTTGGAATGATATTGGTCTGGCTGTAAATTTGCTGCACGACTCGAAATATTCCCCAGGGAGTGTATGAGGTTGTGAATGGTGTGTTGCTGTTGATATATCCAACGACATATTCAGAGTCTGACAGGTTTCAAATGTTCAAATGAGGTTTTTTTTTTTTTTGACCGAATCAATGCTACAACTATTTCAATGTACAGTATTTCATAATTTATACATTAACCTTTTGGCCAATACATACCACAACTTCGATCTCATTGGCTGCTGTATTTTCTCATTTATTATTTTGAGGTTATCCATTACAGTTCTCTTGAGCATTTTAGTGTCCCTGTATGATATTATTCTATAAATATTTTATAGTTTAAGCTTTGAAAAACCATATGGATCCCCCTGTGATATCTATAAATATACAATTTTAGTTCAAGATGGTTTTATTGAATTACACACATTTATAGTGGTGATTGACTAAATTTACCATCTACATGTGTGTTTTTTTTTACCAAGATGAATTTATAGTTCAAATGATAAACTCTCAATGGTTAAATACTTGAAACGAGTTCATTATACATTTACCAAAATAAATATCTAGCTAATTAAGTGTATGAAAATACAGTACCTTCGTATCCCTGTTAAAATGTATGTCAATATACTGTAAGTTAAATTAAAAGACTTGAATGTGTCAAGGTAGTGAAAGACTTTGATCCAGTGTACACCAACTGAGTAACACTCAGGGGAGTTGTATTACATGTTGCCTTTATATTTTACCAAGAAGAAGGGAGCTATATTTCCAGCTTGGTGGTTAATGAATATACACCTGTACTGACTAAGTTAGCTTTTGAAAAAAAAACAAGTCCACCAACATTCATTTCAAACAACTGTATTGCTCATTTGAAAACATCGAGTTTTGAAACACTGGTACTCGTCAGATCACTGAAGTTAAGCACCTGGCCTGGGATTTACCAATCTCAGCTTAGCAAATGTCTTAAGTCAAAAAAGTTAAGATGTCCCTAATAAATATTACCCATTCTTAGCAAAATCTTAGCTTAAAAATTGTCTTAGATGGCACCAACGTACAATCGACTTTCTAATTTTAAGCAATTTTTAAGCTAAGCAATATGGATAAATTTGACTTAAAGCAAAAAATGGACTAGACGAATTTAAGCTGATTTCTAGTTTGATAAATCTGGCCCCTGGTTTTTGAATAGTCAAGCAGTATCACAGAGGAGCGCCACTAGCTTTTGTTTCTGTTGCTAGGCCTAAGTCTTCTCAGATTAGGACTCTGGACTGTAGGTCCATTGCACAAAATGCACATACACAGATTTTGATTATGAAAATCCTTAAATCAATTTCCATCCAATTTATGAGTCTGTACATAAAATATTTGGGAAAAATAATTTTTTGCATCTGAGTATTATGTGGTGATGAAAATATTTTATTGTTCAGATTTTAACTTATTCAAATAAAGTTCAATTTCTTAAATTTTATTATTTTATCACATATACCCGATGACCAGTTTTTGGTTAAAAGCTAAAATGTGTTGGTCTGTAAAGTGTTGTTGGTCTTCAATTCACTGTAAATGTTATTGATAATGTTTCATCTCAACATTGACAGTATCTTTTCACGGCCACTTCCCTTCCAATCAGGAGGTCTTGGGTTCAAATCCTGTGAAAGAAATATTTCTTGTCACAACTAAACAAAACACTTAACTTCTTAAAGACTTAGTTTACATTACTATATACCCTGTAATTGTTAACTTGTATACTTTCTTTTTAATATAAAAGAAAATTTAAAAAAAAAAAAAAATCTCTTCTATGCCTTTGCCAAATCTGAATTCTTGAAAACAAGACAATAAGTAGGACGGTTTGAATGGCTGTATTGTTTTTAGCTGTTCACACATTATTTATGTTTTCTTCTTGGAATTAGCACATTTCCTCAAATTTCCCAAATTTACAAAAATGATTTAGTTTCAGCATGATTAAGTTAATTCTATTTGAATCACAAATCGGATTATAGATGTTCCGTCCCCGCAGAATGCTCCTGACTTTAGATAAAATTATTTGTGATTCTAAATGATTCTTAAAAAAAATGTTTTCCTACATTGTATGTTCTTGTTATTGAGATGGAAAAAAAATGTGTGGTTAGGGTTTAGAAAAAAAAAAAACCTTAATTACCTGTGAAAAAGTATGGAAGGAAGCCAAAGAGACATAAGGGGCACTAGAGATACTGGAGGAAACTTAACATACAGGACTGTGGTGACATCCAACCACAAAGAAAAAGCAGTTTAAAGAGAAAATGAAAGAAAGGGTTGTTTTTCTTCTAAATATTTTTGGTTTATTTATTCTTTTCTGTTATTTATACCCCAAATTCAAGGGCATAAGCCCTTAAGGGGATATCCTCTGAAGATATCCTCTGAAGAAACATAACATGAAATTTTTTAAGAAAATGTTTTGTTATTTATTATATATTTATCCCTACATAATGTACTAAAATTCCATATGTTATGTTTTAATTATTTATTATAATACATATTTTTTATTGTTATAGTTATCTTTAATATTGTTATTGTTATAATATTTTTGGACCTGTGAACAATAGGAAAAAATATTTTTGATTTTCATTGTGTGATCTCATTATTACATTTTTCGAGAAAAATATATGTAAAATCATGGAGGAAACTGTTTCCTCCATGGTAAAATGAATGTGACCGAATGATTATAGATATTAACTATGGATTTATAAAGTGCATAAATGCCATAGTGATGTCATAATAATATGATAAATTATAGATGTTAAAGAATGAATGGTAGTGAAAGAAGTGTATGCTGTCTAATGTCAGCGTCATGAGCTTATGTCTTGCAAATTCAACTATTTTTCAATACTAAAAACATTACTTCCTTAGCCTTATTATAAGATTTAGATTAAGAACAACACTTAAACAGAATAAAATTTAAAAAACATTCTGATATTTAATACTTTATATTCTCAGTAGTATTTCTTTCATCCTGTAGGTTGACACTGTTGGATGAGATCCAATTATCAAAAAAATTAATTTAAAAAAAACATTATGAAGCTGCATGTTTCCAGGTTTTTTTTTAAATTACCAACACATTTGTTGGGATGATATGAAATATGTATTTTTTTTTTTTTTTTGATATGCAGGCAAACCCTGGTATAGTGACTTGTCTTGACAATCGAATGCACAAATTTGATGATGGCGACTACATCACATTTAAAGAAGTCAACGGTATGGACAAACTGAATGGCGAAATTCATCAAATCAAAGGTAAAAATTTGAAAACTACTGATATCTTGAGAGGAAAAAAACTTTGTTATTACTGTACATAAAAGCCTAGACTGGCGCCTAATGTCTGTATGTAACAACTAGGATTTTATCTGTTTGTATATGAGGTAAAATTATATTGGTTCTTGTGGATTGACATTTATGTTTGATTACATTGTAAAAGTAATGTGATTCTATATTTATCCTGCTATGATTATATATCATTAGGATGATTATTGTTGCCAAAACTTTTTAGAATGGTAAAGATTGTGGTGGTAGTAGTAGTGATGATGATGGTAGTGGTGGTGGAGGTTTTTATGAGAGTGGTAATGTTTGTGATGATGGTAATGTTTGTGATGATGGTAATGTTTGTGATGATGGTAATGTTTGTGATGATGGTAATGATTGTTGATGATGGTAATGATTGTTGATGATGGTAATGTTTGTGATGATGGTGATGTTTGTGATGATGGTAATGTTTGTGATGATGGTAATGTTTGTGATGATGGTAATGTTTGTGATGATGGTAATGATTGTTGATGATGGTAATGTTTGTGATGATGTAAATGTTTGGGATGATGGTAATGATTGTTGATGATGGTAATGTTTGTGATGATGGTAATGTTTGTGATGATGGTAATGATTGTTGATGATGGTAATGTTTGTTGATGATGGTAATGTTTGTGATGATGGTAATGTTTGTGATGATGGTAATGATTGTAATGATGGTAATGTTTGTGATGGTGGTAATGTTTGTGATGGTGGTAATGTTTGTGATTTTGGTACTGTTTGTGATGATGGTAATGATTATGATGATGGTAATGATTGTGATGATGGTAATGATTGTGATAATGGTTACTGTGATGATCATAATGATTATGGTGGTGTAATGATAGTGCTGATAATAGCATTGGTAATTGTTGGTGTGGTTAATGTGATGGTGAACGATAGTGGCGAGATTGCTGCTGTAATATCAATTATAATGATGATGGTTATGTTGATAATAGAGATACTGATGAATGACAATGAAGATAGTGATAATGAGATTGCTGAAAATAATGATGATGATGCTGAAGACATGGTAGTAGTGATGATTATTAACAATGGCAGTACTTACAGTAATAAATATGTTGATACTTTGATAATAGGCCCTAATTGATTTTGTTGATTTACAGTGGTGACCCCATATGCATATAGTATATGTGATACCAGTGGTGATGAATACAAACCCCATACTGATGGTGGGATAGCCAAGCAGGTCAAAGTACCAGTGATAAAGAAATTTGTAAGCATTACCTCTAAATAATAAATTAATCCATCATTATTCATATTTTTATTATTATCATTTTTATCTCATCCATTATAATCCATCATCATAATGATGATCATTACAATTACCTTTATCCTCACAATTATTATAATTGACCAGTTATGATTAATAAGCCATTTGTAGAATAAGTCATGTGTTTAAGAAGCGTAGGTTCCTACTGTTTAAAGAGGAAATAGTGATCTGCCATCCATCAAATTGTATGTCCATGATGGAAGCCATATTGATTACTTATTAGATAAATTATAGATTCCTCCAAACATGCTAAGAAAATATAATCAGGTAACTGAATAAACTACAGTATAATTGTGGTGATGAAATTAATAAGTCGTGATTATAGCCCATCTATAGACTGCCTATAAACAGCAGTGTATAGTTAGTCTATATATCATCTATAGACAGTCTTTAGACCATTATCTATAGAAATATATTGAGATGGAGTTAGTATAATTATACTATATTGCTGACTCTAATGGATTATCTATAGACCATTAATATACTTCTTAGAACATTCTAGAGTTGCTAAGAGTGAACCCTGACATAGCATTTCTTTTCCATTTTCTGAATTTAATTCAACACAAATATTTGTCAACCATTACTAGAGAATTTACCACTAGTTTACCACAACCGTCTCTCATGTCCTTGTCTTAGTAATTTCTTTGCTAAACTTGTTTAAATCCTAGTCATTTTCTGGATGCCTAATGTAATGAATAATTCACTTAAATATATTTTTACATTTTGCAGGTTGAAACATCAATCATTTCTATCAGAATTTTTTATTTGACATTATGTTTCTGTCATTGCTAATTTGTGTTTAGAGTATTATATCAGTTTGGAAAATTGTATGTCATTCAAACTATGTATTGATTTCTGTCATAAATATTATTAAAGCTTTGACTTTTTATGTTGTTTGCAAACCTGCTGCCTACCAATAAAGAGGATTTCAGATAAAATATATTTTTGTCTAATTACAAAAGTCAATTTATTGGAAACATTTTTGTACAGTCCAATTAGTGCACCTGTTGCTGTGAAAATTTCAGAAAAGATATGGTCTTTCCCAAAGAAATGTATATTTGTTCCTCACAATTAAATAAATATAATGATTACTGAACAGTTTATATCACAGCATTGTATTCTTTGTAGGTCCAGGAGCATAGGCTAGTTTCATCCTAGGGAAGGGAATCAGAGCAAATATTGGGAATGTGGAACTGGGGGTTGCAAAAATAGAGAAAGCAGAACTATTCAAATAAAAACTTAATGGTCATTTTTGGTATTTTAACTCACTTTGTGGAACTAATTTGCTCCATCCGTGCCCATGCATTATGATCTTGCATGAAGGCTTAAGTGCAACTTATATTAATTTTTTTCCCTTAACACGCTTGCATTTTTGTTATTTTCGTTTTCCTCTTTGTATGCTTTTCTCAGAACCATTATATTTTTACAGTATTTTTATTTTCCCACCATCTGAATGTCTTTCAAAAGTTTAGTTTGCTAAACAAGGTATAAACAAAGTCTATGGAAAGTTATTTGTATTTTGATGAAGACATTTTTGTATGACATAGAGGGACCATGAAATTAGCATTGCCCAAATAATGATAATTGATGACTCTTTGCAGGAATCCTTAGCCCAGCAAATTTTGAAACCCAGTACAATGATGTTAGATTTCTTGAAAGATCCGATGGCTGATCACCTGGCAATTGTTGCGTTACTCAACTTCCAGGACAAACACAGCCGATTACCCCGTATCAGGTATTGTTAAACCGTATCATTTCTTAAGCCAGACAATAGCCGTACAACGATTGCTATCTGTAAGCGCTTGGTGATACAATGCTGTCTGCTGTTTGTTGGTGGCAGATAAGGGGTCGTTCAACATTGTCAACAATTTCACAAGTGTACAAACAGTACACTAGGGGTGGGGGGGGGAGGTAGACAAATTTCAAAATAACATGCAATATGTAAAATAATGGTAAAATTATAATGTAACCATAGGTATAACATTCATTTTTAAGCAACCAAGTACATTGCTTTAGTTGGCTTAACAAAAAAATGGAGAATGGTTTTGCAAAATCAACATTTTTGTGTACACTTTCAGGGGAGGGAAAGGGTACTGAAAAAGAGTATTATTTGTAAACTTGTGAAAATGTTGATAATTGTGAACGACCCCTTAAAAGCAGATTGTATTAAAAACGTCCTGTTACACACCTCGTCGTCCAAAGGTTTAGACTTTGACTCACTCTGCATCTTTTTATGGAAATTTGTTGCTCATATAAATGTATACTATTATAAGAACTATCAGAATTGGCTAAACTATAAAGATGTACAATATATTTGGCTGGATTGTTGGTGCAGTGTGTGTCCAGCTTTAGATTTTAGTTTTATATACTGTATGTTGCACTGTGGGAAACAAATGACTGTATTTATGACAGTAATTGCCACTATAATATACATTGATTAAATTTGCTATTGGCAATCATTGACCCCATTTGTCTGGATAAATACTAAAAAATAGTAAATAAAGGCAACAAATGCAGTATATGTGGTTGGATTTATGGTAATTTACCTATATTCTCGCATATAAGATGATCTGTGCATAAGACAAACCCCGAATTTGAAAAGATTTGGATGAATTTTGTATGTCAGGCATATAAGGCGACCCCTGTTGCACCGTCGGAATACCTAGTTTTTTTTTTGCTGCCCTTTATGGCCTTGATACTGCATCTACCTGGCTAAAAACAAGGCAAATGTAGGGGTAATCTTCCGATAATACCATTTTATGGGCTTTTAATTGTTCATCGAAATCTTATTCCCGCATATAAAATTGCATTCAAAATTGTGTTCGTTCATACTAACAGTTTGTAGCTTCACTTCAGTAGTAAATTTGCGTGTTACAGACGATCCTTACATAAGATGAATCAAAACGACCCCTGTTTTTTATCATAACGTCGCTCACATCACGAACTAACACAATCAAAGTAGATTGTGTTAGTTCGTGAAATCACAGTAGCGCGTCAAAACGAGTGCGTATTGGTTGTCAAGCAATTTTGTATTCTTTACCACACAAAAAGTCCAACAACGACAACAGCGCGTATTTTGACGCGCTTTTTTGATTTCACGAACTAACACAATTGAATTTAATTGTGTTAGTTTGTGATGTGAGCGACGATAATTTGCTATTTTGTACCTCGTCTTATACATGATAATCTACATTATCTTATTTTAGATGAAATTAAGTTTTTCATGTTTTATTATATATTCTTGGTTTGCTCATCTTTTCTTTTTTGTTGCATCACAGTAATTTTAACTAGAAAAAAATGATTCTTGGTTATTTATAATTTTTATTATGTACATTTGATGTCTTTTCTTATTAAGAAGTTATTAAATTACTTAAATTCATCAGATTGCATGTTACAGCATATGTATTACCAACAGCAATAAAAAACCTCAAAATTCTGTCTTCTTTAAGTGGTAACAACAGAGATAATAATAGTATCCACAATTTATTTGATGCCAATTTTATACTAGATCAGAAGCACAAGCCATTAATACTCCTGGTCATGAAAGGGTATATTGATTTTGTACATGAAATTGACTTGCAACATATATCAACATAAAATATTAAAAGCAATGTGGTGCCTATTCCTGAAAGTAACATAAACGAATGCACGCAGTATGTACACATGAAGTATTTATTAAGCTGAATGTGTCATCAAGGCCGCTGAGGTGGTGGCATAAATTGGAACATTTTCTGCCTTTCGCTTTTGGGTAGCAAACCCCAAATTTGGCAGAAGACAGCCAAGCGCCAAAAAAAAAAAAAATTAATTAATTTAACATACAGTCATACAGCGCCGTAGATTTCTCAGGTCATCGCTGAGTAGTATGTCCTCGTTTGATTGAAATATAATTTTATGCAAGTCATGGTGTCTAATAATGCATAACCATGCTTCTCTATTATTTACCATCAAAATTTATTTTTTATAGCAGTCTTCATTCGAAAATGCACACGTAGCGAAACTCATAATAACCTAATTGTACTGCCTTGGAGTATTTTTCAAGGCAAAAGTACCTTCCTGTTCTATTTCTTGTAATGATAGGATGATCTTGCATATGAAATAATAGGATGATCTTGCATATTAAAAATATAAAAGTATTATTATTCTAGTAGTTTAAAACTTTTCATTGATGAATATATCACGTACACAATTTGGAATTGCAAAGTATTTATTAGGATTTTTCTCACAACCAAAACAACTCCACTCCGCTTCCTAGCCTCGTAATGAGACTTAGTTCATGTAGAGCATCTTGTGTTTATGTTTATCTTGTGAAGGGATATGCCACTTTGAATAGTGATTAAGTTTGCTGCTTGGCATATCCTTGGCCTTAGGTCTAAACCAATTAATAAAAAATTTAAAAAAAAAGAAGATTTTTCAATAGTATTTTATCTTTATATTAGATGCAAGTATATTTTAATATGTCGGTTTAAATGCAATTGATGACAGACAGCCAGAAAGCAATCGGGCAACCTTTGAATTGATGAGGTCAACTACTACTGTAACTAGCAAATTAAAAGATATCTGAAGTTCCGTTGTAATTTAGTTACTCAATATAAATACTTCTAACTGTAGAGGGCGATATGACTCTAAAACTACTAAAATATTTGTATATACTATTATTAACGTAATGTTTGTTACAGGGATGAAGGTGATGCTGCTGAGTTAGTATCACTTGCAGAAGAAGTTAATTCCTCACTTGTGAACAAGCAGAATTCATTGGACACTGAAGCAATCAAGGCACTGGCCTACACGGCTCAGGGGTGCTTCTCACCACTCACTGCTTTTCTTGGGGGCGTGATCGCTCAAGAAATCCTCAAAGCAGTCACTTCTAAATATACTCCACTTGACCAATGGGTAGGTTCAAATGTCAATGTCATAGGTTATTTTATCAATTTGTACCATGTGTACTTGTGACACATTTGTTATTGGACTGAATTAAAAACTGATAATGTATTGAGGAATTTTTTAGTAAGGATTGAAGCTATATTTTTTTATACTATACCATTTTTATGCTGTTTCCTTCTTGTATTAACTATTATTTTTTACATGTCTGATAAATGTTTATATCAGGAATGAAATTATTAGTAAACAATTATACTTTTTTATACTATACTATTTTTATGCTGTTTCCTTCTTGTATTAACTATTATTTTTTACCTGTCTATGATAAATGTTTGTATCGGGAATGAAATTATTAGTAAACAATTATACTATATACAGAGTTTTAGGTGAATAATAATAATAATAATAATAATAATAATGATAATATTTAATTGGCAAAATAAGTGCAAGGGACCAAGATTTTTAAGTGCAATTAATTAATTATATAT